TTACCCATGGAATTATGGAGAGGATGTGGAACACTGTCCCACCAAGGACCAAAGATGGTACCGTGTCACGTTCAGATTTACGAGGAGATAGTGGACCCCCTGCATGAACAACATAAGACCTGACAGTGTTCATAAGAGGGTCCAAGCACACACACCCCCTCACCGGATAGCTAAGCGTCAAATCTGGACTGATTTTACAAGTAGGCTTTCGTATAGGTTGATCCTGCTCCTACCGGCATCTGTGAAAAAATTTCCAGGGCCCCAGGTTGGAGGGTCCCAGACTTTGCCCTTTTCTCCGAGAGTTGAGAAAACTCAATATTCCAAAGAAAAATCCTCTGTCCACCACCCCAGTGACTGGGAACTGGGTGTGGTAAGGACTCCCGAGCTCCACTGGTAGAAGTAAGGAAGGAACATAAGCATTGGGGAGTCTTGAAGAACAGGTCTCTGGAGACAGTGCAACATGTAAATCACGTTCCCTAATTTTTAAAAGCAAACTGATCTTGATTGTTTCAGCTCTAAGATCAGCAGGGACTGGCAAAATCACCTTTAGCTTTACTCATGATAGTCCATGAGTAGCAGTCCATTACAAATATTGTAACATGATATCACCATCCAGATTTGTATCCAGATGGTCTTATGGAACACCTCATCTCGACAGAGCCATTGCAACCAGGAACCAATATAAAGGTTGCTAGTGCAGAATTTAAATACAAGCATACCTGACTGGGCAACACTCGCTACTGAGTGGGATCCAAAAGAAATCAATAGAGACCTAAGAGAAAAGAACAATAACTTCTTGAAACCGTTATACGGGAATTCATATCCAATTTTTTTTTTTTTATTTTGTAGGAAAAAAACAAAAAACAAATTCAATGAAATATATCTCTGTATAACAAAACAAAAAATCCCCAATTATTAGAAGGCAAAAGCAAAGAAAATGTACATCACAAAAGTTTGTCTGAATTGTCTACATACAGTGCTTATATACAGTACCTGCACAGAGGGAATGTGAGGGCCCGCATAAAGTTTTGCAAATTATATATTGCCGAGGGCAGTCGAGTGGGTTATATAAAGACTGGAACAAGCAAACACAATGTTAGATGGCAAAGATCAAGATCGAGAAATAGCTATTAGTGTCAGTGGAGGTATGTATGTTTTGGAACTACCATACACCTATCAAGGATTGTTAAAGCTCCAATACAAGCTAAAGTTGGTAATTTGAAGAATTTCCTCTCTCTTTCAAGATCTTATAACCTACAGTAGTTTCAGAATAATTTTAAGGACAATATTTTGAAAACATTAATAAGTTAACATTTTGAGTTTTCTCACTGACTTGTATAAAAAAAAAGCAGTTTAAGATCTTTCTCCAAACAAAATTCTGTCTTACGTCTTCAATAATATTAATCTATAATAAATTTCTATTTGATACAGAATTTCATTAATAAACATTCAGTGGAAAATAAAATAGAGAACCACATAAACATGTAAAATGCAGGAATTTGTGTAAAAACTAGGAAAATAAAAGAGTTGCTAAAATTTTCTAACAAAAAACCTCAGAGCTTTAGATTTTTCATACAAAAAAAAGTTTAGCTACTATGATGACACTCAATAAATGATAATAAAGTAAATATTTAATCAAACTTTTTTTTTTAATAAACTGTAAATTTGTCAAGAATGATATTTACTACCAAAAACATTAAAGTTGTACATATATTATAAAAAAGTGCAGTTCAAGAGATTTCAGTAATATGAATTCCTTTATAGGTATGAAGGAACTTTTTGCTTTTGCTTTTAAGAAAATAGTATGTCTACAATTGAAGTGTGGTTAATAGTCTAAAAAAAATATCTTGAAAATTACACAATTTTCCACATTACACGAGAAGAAAGTTACAATTTAACAAAAACCTGAATAAAGCATGAATAAATAACCATGAAGTTAAGCCAAGGTCAACTGACAGAATTTTACTAACATGCAATACATCCACAACACAACTTTTCAAACCTACACTTCTTTCTTTTCCACTGCCTTCTATGCTACTTTCATGATACATGTCTCCATTTTCTGATCCTGTAATGCTACCTCTTTCTCTTTTAGACCCCCATGTTCTTCCAACTGGTTGTTTGACTGGAGTTAGTCTATCCACAAGTGAGACTTTATGTGTGTTTTTTTCATGTATTCCAACAAATTTAGAGAGCTGTTCATCTTTTATTCCACTTATGTCTGCTCTCCCCAGTTCAGGACTTGGGCTACGACTCGATTCAGAGTCACCATGAGCACCTTGGTTCAGGAAGTCCAGAGCAGGAGGAAGTAAAGGAGTTCCTGAAGATGATAAAAATATGCCACCATTTAATAGAAAAAATTACATTCCTGTTCATGAAACCTGACAATGAATTCAGCCTCAATTTTCACAATTGTTAATTTTCTAAGTAGGTTACTTTAATAAAATACACAAAATGTGACTATTCTTGACAGAACAGTTAATTTCAAAGATGATGATATATACAAATAGTCTTGTAAAAATAGGGTTTGAATAAGAAAAAAGAAAATCTTAAGATATTATCATTAAAATATTTGTTGAATGGAAAGCTGACACACAATCAAATAAGCATCTCCAGGATGATCCACCATCAAGATGTGAAGACACTATTCACAATACCATCCATGGCATGATTGATGTTGGGGTACTCCTTACATCAGCTAAGAACTTAATGGTACTAGCCAATGATGCTAAAACTCTTGTATTTTACTTTTTAACAAAAATCCATAAACCTATCAATCCAAGCAGACCCATCACATCTACTTGTAATTCCCTAACCAAAATTATCTTCTCTTATTTAGTCTCTATAAAGGCATCCCATGTTAAATTTCTCCCCACATGCCCTACATATTTTTCATACATTAACCTTTGACCCTATCTCAGCAAATATTCTACAGTTTACCACGGACACCAAATTATTATACACTTTTATACCTCAAAATCAATGTTTATTTTAAAACTTTTTTTTTCAACAAATGTCCCATATTTGAGCCCTCCACTGATTCAATAATCTGACTCAATGAACTAATCCTAAAATGTTACATCTTTTTATGACAAATTTTACAAACAGATTTGCTGCATTGCCAAGGGTAGAAAAATGGATCCAAATTTTGCTAATTTTTTGTTAGTAACATTGAAAAAGGTATGTTCAACCAGTATAAAAGGCAATTACCTCTTCTTTATGAGATACATTGATGAATTGGTTATAATATTTACAGTACTTAATCAGATCTAAAACATTTCATACCTTTTATAAATTATTTCTCCACTACCCTAGATACACCCACACACTATCTGACAGGTTATTTCTATTTCTTAATATACTCCTCTGGCAAAATGAATACTACTCTACATTAAACCCACCAAGACACACAGTTACTTATATTTCATATCCAGACATCCAGCTCACACAAAGCATAACATACCAAAAACATGATTTGGAAGACTGCAGAGAATCTGTAGTGAAAATGATAAATTCAATTTATTTACTACAGACATGAAGGCTTTTATTCCAACTGTGGATATCCCCAATACATTCTGAAATAAACCAAACATGTTGCTACAAGAAACAACAAAAACAAATATTTTTTACATTTCAAGAACATAATTTATCATCCACAAAACACCAAGGTTGCTAGAGTGGGTAATCAACTCAATTAAATGATATCTAAGAACATCAATTAGTGTCAAGTAAAATAATAAATAAATCAAAATTAGTTTTTCTTATTATTACTGTTTCCAAATAATCCAAGCAATCAAAATACTATCATTAAAAAATTAAAACAGAAGAGTTTTGTTTCATGATTACAATATGGCTGAGAATCTAAATGCTTTTTCCTCATTAGTTTGTACTAGGGTAGATGTAGGGTTGATTCGACAAGTGAATCTTCCTAAGAAAGAATATATGATATCCTTGAATGGAGTTGGGATTAAGACAGAGCCATTTAGATTTAGGAAAAAACAAGTAAGCAGGTTTATGGATCATTCACCTTAATTTTTAATGAACCTATAAAAAGTTGTTAGGTGCTGGAAGCTTGAAGACTAGTCAACATTAGAATGATTTTTTTAGGGGGGGTTAGACATTGTACAAGTAATTATTGACTACATAATCTTACTTCTGTAAAATGGAAATTACTAGAGCAATAAAAGTAAAAAAATTCTACTACACCATTTAGACACGATTCATGTTGTCACTAATTCTAGGTGACTAACGTCAATACCTATGTGCACAGATTACATCAATTACTCTCATGCGAAATAACTGATTAATCAAAATTACGTTTAAACAGATTGATGTCATAAAAGTATATAATCAACTAGTATTTCTGATTATTCCAACTATTCAGTAATCAAAATTAGAATTAAACTGATTAATATTTCTCATTATTACTGTTTTCAATTATATAACTATCTAGTAATTGAAATATTGCCATTATAACTTTTCATTATTATTTTTAATGAATACAAATTTGTTCATCTTAACTGATTAGTGTCACAACTAACAAAAATAATTAATTAATTTCTGGTTAATTTAACTGATCAAAATATTGCAATTTGATTTCTCATTCTTATTTTTGATTAATTCAAGTTTATTGAGATTAATCAATTAGTGTCATGACTCATGAAAATAACCAACTTATCAAAATTAGTGTTTTTCATTAATCCAACTATCCAAGTAATTGACATACTGCCATTATGATTTTTCACTATTTTCCATTAACTGAAGTTTGTTCGGCTTAACTGATTAGCATCATGACTCAAAAAATATTCAAGTAATAAAAATTAGTGTTTCCTCATAATCCTTCCAGTGACTATAGAAGTCACCTCATAATCTGTGGGTCTTTTGTTTGATTCCTGTGCCATCAAACATGTTCACCTTTCAGCCACATGAGCATTATATTTGTTTCTTAAGTTATTGTAAAGCATCTGAGGCTACTTGCCACTGGCTGGCAACCACCACCAATGTAATGTTTTTTTTACATTGTGCTATGCTTCTTTATAATTGCATAACTGTATTCTTTAATGCTAATAAATAAGGTGAAAAATTACTGTTTTTACATTGTGTTTCATTGCATTTTATAATTTGTATAACTGTTTTCTGTAGTGTTAACTAAACTAAAAATACACTTTTTCTACATTGTGTATATTTTAAATTTGTTAACACTACACCTTCCACTATCCTAAATTTGTCCCAGTAGTTGCAAGAGGCACTGGCAAAATAAGTAAAGCTGGATGATTTAATCAATTACCTACAAGAAGCAATTGCATAGATTAATGTATCTTAAACTAATCAATTAATCAACTAACATTATGAAAATAATCAACGAACCAAAATTTGTTTCTGAATATTTCTTATTGCAATCATTCCAACAATCAATTAATTTGAAATTACAATTAAATCAACTGTCACAAAAATAATCAATTAATCAAAATTACTTGTTCCAATTATTCCAACAATCATCATAAAACTAATAAATTAATCAAAGTTAGGGTTATCAATTACTTACTGTTTTTGATTATTCCAAGTATCCAAGTAATTGAAATCTTGCCATTATATTTTTTTGTTGTTAATCACAACACTACGAAATGGGTTGCCTCGAGTTCAATCTCCAAAGCCAATAAACTTGCTCATCCTGTGTTTGTAATTTCAAAGTTACTAAGATTATCTGCTACTATCACTGTTTTTGAAATGATGACTAGAAGAAGAGCAACCAATTGGCAGCATCCACTGCCAACTCTCTGGCTACTTAGATAAAGTATATATTTACCAGGTGCAGGATTATGGGTAGGTCCTGGGTGCCAAATCCTTATTGATTTTTTTAAGATATACATAACTATTCTATTTTATAAAACATCATCATAAAAACATACTCTGTGATCATTTGTGTATAAATAGGTTGTGCTTGCAATGTTGCCTTCATAAGGCCTAGGAAACAAAAACTGGTTGCAATAACAGAACCAGCACTAAAAGTTTAATGGTTTTCTTTCAAATATTTCCAGAGAACGTAATTTTATTGCAATCACATTTTCTTTTCTTATTAGCTAGAATACTGAAAGCTATGTCTATATTACTTTCACCCACAAAGTTCAGATCAATGGAATTGACTTATATAAGATATGTTTAAGCAATTAGTAATGTTTTCACCCATTATTTACATAAACCTATTCACAGAACACAACATTAATCACAATTAAGTTGAAATTATGTAATGCAAAAAGATAACCTTGTAATGAAAGCTTAGAATTGATAAATTACAAAAAAAACTTTTATAATACATTTTATGATCCACAAGATTTAATCAGGTGTGAGATGTGTTTGCTTTAGGAAACCAAGTTGATTATAATAAATAACTACATTAATAATTATAAAATATTTTAAATACTCACAAGATTGTATTTTAAGTTTTCAATGTTTTTATTTTAAATTAATGTATATACTCAAAATAAATTATAAGGTTCATCAATAACAGTTATCCATTACATCATTGCTGGTTTAATACATATATTGTTACTAATCAGTAGTGATCTTTATTATTTGAAATATTATTATAAAGTTTAGTTACTTGATTCAAATAATTGTTTCTAAGTATTTCCATTTTCACTGTTAAGCTCTTGATTCAAAAACTGGTTTCTTATTTGACAATTCCATATAACTCTACTAAACCTATTTAATTTCCATAATAAGTTTATCTTGAAGATAATTGTGTTCTTATTCCATCATTATCATGTTAACCAGCTATACTAGATAATTTAATGTATGTTGCTTCCCAGTATTTTTGTATAAATTTCACAATTTCATTTTCTCAAGACAGAATTTTTACAGCATCCTTGTTTCAGTTTATTGACAGTATCCTATTTTGAGTAACAGTTTCTCAAAGTGTCAACCTCTAACTACACTATTCAATTGTTTATATACTACTATTAAATGTAGAAGCTCATTATGTTAAGCAATGTACTTCTTACTTTCTAATTAATGAGCTTCCTCATTCAGAAAAATAGCTTTAATGTTCTGATGTTAATAGGCCTCTTGTATCCATGTTATAACCAGGGAGAATTCTCTTGTTCATTTCCAAATTCTTGCAAATAGCAAAATACTATTCTTTGCAAGAGCACATAATTATCAATAGGTTCTGTGGAAGAGTTCAAGTTTGACATTTATACAGCACAAACTTTTAAAATGTCCAGGATGTTGGTCAGATGATGCAATACCCAGAAATACCATATTGTTTATTGAGAATTTGAGAAATTAGGGTTTATTTTATTCTGCTGATAGTAATACTAA